CAGCACACCAACATGGCACAAGTATACATATGTAACAAACCTGCACATTGTGCACATGTACCCTAGAACTTAAAGTATAATAATAAAAAAAATAATAAAATTGTAACACAAGCCTGAACAAGTAATTAAAAAAAAATGCTTTGTGTATCCTGTTTATTTAGCTTAAGAGCACTATAACGCTATGTTCAAAACCTAAATCATCACAAGCTATTTATACTGCAAGTACTCCATTTTTTAATAGCTCTGTCTGAAATTTCTGAAGTACACCTGAAGGGTTTAACAATGATTTATCATTCTTTCCTCTCTTTAGATCATCCAGCCCATGGAATAGATGCCCAGAAAAAACTTCAGCTGACTTTGACTAAACCTCCTAAAAGTTGGTTTGAAATTACTGTGGGTCCTAATCCCCAGCGCAGTGTTACAAATAAAATCTATTTTTGTTCTTCAGCTCCATACTGTGGGTAACAGTTTCAGCACAGAATTTGACCTCAAGCAACACGAACTCCGAATAATGCATAAAGTAACATCAACACGAGGCAGCGTGTGTGAAACAGATCTCGGTCCCGTAACAGCGAAAGAGAAGGACAAATCAGATCATCACACGGGATGTCTCTTTTGTGCGATTTCGCATTTTCCCATTCAAAACAAAAAATAAATAATAAATTTGAAGCCACTCACTCATGGATTCTGTCAGCTTGGCCATTGTTGCAGTTTCTTCTTTGTGCTCTTCCTGGAGGTGAGAAGAAAAGACAATGATCTATAAAACATGTCTTAGATATGAATTGATCTAATTGCCATTTACAGCTATATCTCTGTTCCTTCTTTTTCCTAGGTCAGAATTTGGTTTCCGATAATTAAATGAATAAAAACCCCACATTGTAGTTATATTATCAGTCAGTCACTGAAAAGAGATTTTTAGGGCATTAAAAAGCTTCCCATTGCTCTTGGGAATGAGTGTCTGTCACACTGATCTTGGATATATATAATGGGTGACGCACGACCAGTTTTCAAAACCTCTTTGACACTGGATTTTTGACATCCATATGCCAATTTTTTTTCCTCTCTGTTTTCCCCTATTGAAGCTTTCTTGGTATTTTTGGAGTTGATATTTTTGTAGTCATTTGGTTTCTTCTTTCCAAAAAACTAAATAGATTTTATACATATTTCTTTGTCTTACTTTTTGGGTTCCTGGAGCCTTTTAAAAGTCGTAAGCTTTGATGGGTTTATAACCTTACCTACTTTGTGCTGAAAACATTTTGTTTTAACCAAGATATAGGTTATAACCCACTGAGTTTGAAAGCCAGAATAATACATACAGAAATTCAATCTGTCCTAATTAAAACATGACCTTGGAGCTATTAAGAATACTGGTCATCTCTACTGAAAAGTTCTCTTTAATTTCTCCACAGTTCTTTGGCTTTCTTTAATTTCTTTGTGTTCCTCACATATGTAGTAACTGAAACATTGTCCACTGTTATTATGCTTTTTTTGCAGCTTTGTTTTTCTGTGAAACTAAAATGTTCATTGTTTTAAAACTTCAGAAAAAAACTGAAAATTATAAATCTAATGCCACCCCCAGAGGAAATCATGGTTACATTTTGGTGACTGCTTTCTAGGCCTATTTCTTTACCTGTGCATATTTACAGATATGGGAATATGATCCTATTCTCATAGAGATAAGTATCTGTACTATACACATTTTGTGTTGAAGCAATGTTTTCATTTAACATCATATCACGCATCTTTCTATGCCAATAAAGGTAGAATACGTCATCATTTTTTAATGACTGCATAGCTCATCATGGGTTATATCATCATTTCCTTTACCAGATCCCATTTAATTTACTTAGAATTTTTCACTTCATAAAACACTGGGATGAGCATCTTGGACCTTATATGGTTGTGCACTTGTTCTGTGCAAGTTATTTTCTGAGGATAAATCCTAAGGTGAGGTATGGCTTGGTCAAAAAGTCTAAATATTAAAAATTCTGACATACAGTGGTCAATTGTCCCCCACAAAGGTTGTACCTGACAGTGTATAAAAGTGTTCAGTTCCTTATTAGCACTTTTGCCCCCTAATCTTTGCTAAATCAACAGGCAGACAACATGATCTTGTTATTTTGCACTGTTGTCTTTCCCTGACCTTTTGTTTATGGACAAGTGTAGTGTTCTTCCCCATGTCATCGTTATGAAGTTAACTCATCGTTTCACATTGTTGTGTTCCAGCCCCTCTGCCATCAACATTTTAGTGCTTAGAAGCCCAGGGTGGTATTTGCTTTTCCCCATGGCCCTGATACAATGCTGAGTACAGTCTAGCAGTTTGGCTAACACTCGAATTGATGTGTCATGGCTTGGGTGTTGTAGTACAGATAGCAAGATCATTATTCGTCCTCCCTATGACACTATTCCCAAACTAGAAGGGTATGCTTTGATTCAATGGCAACAAACAACTTCGCACATGGCAAGTATTCTTGATTTCCACAGCCCTGTATTCATGACAACGAAATCAGCACACCACCTCTTACTTAAACTAATAATTGCCCTTGAGAACAGAAGGAGCTACGGGGTTGTAATCTACTAACCTGCTTGCTGTGGCATTTCGCCCATGATATTTAGCCTACCACTTGGGTTATGTCAACATGCAGAGAAACAGCATGGCGTGCGCCAGTAGAGAGGCTAAGTGTCACGTCACGGAGCTGAATAAGACAGGCAGAGAGGAGGCTCTCACACAACGCTGGTTCGTGCGAGTGTGCACAGCGGCTGCTCACCAGCCGACCCCAGTGGGTTGTAACAATTCAGGCAGAAAAGCTGTTCCATGGCAGGGACTCAGTGAAGTTGGTCCCAGAGCTTGTTCTGTCTCTGTGTGTCC